ATGCAGCAGCACGAGGCCCTGAGTCTGAAGCTGGGTTCCCAGTGAGCATATGGGGTCCTCAAAACACAGTGAATGCTGCTGCCAAACATGGTCTGGTGGAAGGCAGGCTTGTGAAAATACTATGCATCTGGCATTTTGCAACTTCCACCTCTGGGAAGACAAGTCGGGGATCCTGGGCAGGGACCAGGGAGCGCCTGGGCTCGGGGAGGAGCTGGCAGTTCCCCTTGGTGCTTCTCTCCTGGTCTTTTAGAATGCACAGCACGATACCCGTCTCCAGGTCACACCAGCCTGTCATGCCTCTTGTTTCCCCTAGAAGTCAATGCTTGACCTAAGATCAAGGTTATGTCTCTCCCATCCAGTTCATAGGTCTGGCATGAGTCCCCTGAAAACCTCAGCTTGCTTATCAGCACTGCTGAAAACTTTCCCAGGTCTGGTTTGACCTGTTTGCAGTCTCTGACAGCAAAGGACCCATGGACACAGGCAGGGCTGAATTTGTCACCCATGTCCTGTAAGGAACATTGCCCTTGAGAGCTCTAATAAAATGGGATAGAACTGGGCCTAGCCCAGTAGAGGCTTCAGTTAAGGGTGACTTGGATTCTCATTCTCAGGGCACAGAGGACAAGTGGGTGGGCTTTAGGCTCAGTAATGGTGGACGCATCAGACTGTGCCCCAAGTCTGAGACAGCGGTCTTCCAGTGGCCACATCTGCACCTCCAGTACCAGTGAGGCTTGTCCCCCGTGCAGAGAGGGAGAGCATAAGGTACCTCCAGGCTTCCTCCTCCTCCACACAGTACCACTCCAGCCGTGAAACAACACCGCACCCACGCTTCCCTTGGCCTTCCCTTCTGCCAGTCCCCACAGGAATGCCTACATGATACCTTGATGAACACCCAGATTTAGGGGTTCAGAGGCTTCCAACTGGAAAGGAAAAGGAAAAGTTTTAGGACTGCAGAAAGAAGCCCATTTCCCTTCCCTGACACACCACTGACAGCCACCTTTGACAGGGGTGCACTTTTAGAACCTGTCCCACAGCCTCTGACTGAGTCCTGGGACCCATCTGCTCAAGCTGTCAGGGAAAGACCATTCATAAAACTCTCTTCATGGACCACTCTCATAACTACCAAACAAGTCCTATAAAGAGTACAAAGCCCTGATTGCACAAATAAAAATATTCCTTCAAAGAAACCCACATCACTATCTTCCATACTCTCAGTGTTTAACACGGCACAAGCAAGCAACCAAAGACACAAGCAACCAGCAAACACAGACGATAACCTCTGAAGGAAATTTTTTGCTTTGCAACTAATCAGCTCCTTACATTCAGTGGGATTCTTTATCAATTAAAATTGTGCATTTATTCTTGAAAAAGTCAGCACCGGGTCTTATCAGTGGCATTCACAGTAGCCCTAAAGTGCATTAAGAAGGGGAGGAAGGGTGGTATGTCCTTGGGTGTATGTGGGGTGTCCATCAGGCCGCTCCACAGCTTCTGCGTGTGTGAAGTTAGGAGCCCTTAGATCTGGTCATGGGCTCCATTTCCAGTGCACAGAGATGTGAGGAACCACGGAGTCCCAGAGGGTGCCTCACTTGAGCATGCCTGAATTGCTGTATCATGATCTGAGAAACAGCAAAGCTCCTCTTGCTGCATTCTCCAGGGCTCTGTGTGTGTGTGTGTGTGTGTGTGTGTGTGTGTGTGCGTGCATGCACACGCAATTTACAAAATAGATAACATAAACAAGATCTGATCAAGAAATAGCAGCACCACTGACAATGGCTAAACCTTAGAAATAGTGTGTGTGTCCACCAGCAGGCAAACTGATGGACACAGTGTGCTGTCTATACACAGTGGAGTACTGCTCAGCCTTAGGGTGCATCTGAAACTTTTGTAGGACAATAAGTGGATCTCGAGGGCGTACTCGTGTGTGAAACACATCAGACACAGAAGGGTAAAGAGCATGTGGCTGCTGTTACATAACAAATGCTAAGTACAAATAAAGAACAAGATAGAACATGGATGGCAGGAAAGGAGGTGGTCTTTTGCACATGGAGAAGAGGATTGAGGGGGTGGAGGGAGAAGAGATGGAGGAGAGGAAGGAGAAAGAAAAGGGTAAGGATGCCGTATGCTTATGCAGCAATATATATATAGCAAACATTCCAATAGAAAAGGTAGAAAGTAACCCTAGAGAGAAATGCAGTGAAAGTTTAAATTTAAGATTAAATAGAATTGGCAAACTGTTGGTCAACCTTAACAACAAAAACCTCAAATCCGTGCAATTAGGAATGAAAAGGATGAAGTCACAACAGACCCCACAGAAATCCAGATCATCTATAACTACTTTGAGAACCTGTATTCTAATAAGACAGAAAATATATAAAAAATGGATAGATTCATAGATACATGTGAATATCCAAAGCTGAATCAAAAAGATATAAAAATTTTAAATAAACTATATCAATCGATGAAATCAAAGATGTAATTAAAAACCTATCAACAAATAACAGCCCATGCCCTGGTGGATTCACTGCTGGATTCTACAACAAATTTTGAGGAGACCTAACACTACTACTTTAAATCTCTTTAAAGAATTTGAAAGGGAAGCAGTACTCTGAGATTCATTCCTAAAAGCAAACATTACCCTAATACCAAAACCAGAGAAAGACCCAACTAAAAAAGAATTATAGACCAATCTCCCTAATGAACATAGATGCAAAAATCCTCATTAAGGATTTGGCAAACAGAATGTAGCAAATCATCAAGAAGGTTATATACCATGATCAAATGGGGTTCATCCAAGGAATGCAGGGATGGTGCACCATACATAAATCAATAAATACAATATACCATATTAGCAGAGCCAAGGACAAAAACCATATGATCATCTCGGTAGATGCATAAAAACTTTTGACAAAGTCCAGTACCCATTCATGATTTAAAAAAAAAAAAAATCCTGCATAAAGTTGGAAAACATGGTCTTTTCTCAATCTGATAAAAGCCATCTATGACAACAGCCAACAATCACACTAAATGGACAAAAACTGAAAGTTTCCACTCTAAAGTCAGGAACAAGACAAGGATGTCTACTGTCTCCATTTTTATTCAATGTAGTCCTGGAACTTTAGCCAAAGAAATTAGACCGGAGAGAGAGATAAAAAGAATAAAGACAGGAAAGGAAGAAGTTATTATTTGTGAAAATGACATGATACTCTACATATAAAGGACTCCAAAAACTCTATTGAAAACACTGCTAGATTTAATAACCAAATACAGTAGTGTAGCCTAATATGAATTCAGCACTCAGAAATCAATATAGCTTTCCTATACACAAAAAAATTCACTGAGACAGAAATTAGGGAAAGAAAACTTTTCAAAATCAAATCTAAAACAAGTGACACACCTAGGAATTGATCTAATGAAAGTTGTAAAAGATCTCTACATTGAAAACACTAGCACTCTGAAAAAGATATGGAAGAGGATATTAGAAAATGGAGAGATATTCTGTGCTCTTGGGTAGGAAGAACCAATGTAGTGAAAATGGCCATATTTCCAAAACTGTTATACCGATTTAATGCAACTTGGATCAAAATTCCAATAGCATATCTCACAGAATTACAGAAAACAATCCTAAAATTCATTTAGAAGCACAGAAGAGACCTAGAACAGCAAGGTAATTCTGGGCAACAAAGGCAAGGCAGAGGGCATCACAATCCCTGACTTGAAATTATAATATAAAGCTACTGTGAGAAAAACAGCATGGTACTGACAAAAAAAAAAAAAAAAAAAAAAAAAAAAAAAAAAAACCCTGAGGATCAGTGGAATGGAATAGAAGATGCAGAAACTACTCTAGACACACGCAGCCACCTTATCTTTAACAAAGGGGCCAAACACATTCACTGGAAAGACTGACTTTGCACATGCTGAAGATTAAAATTTCTTTCATCATGCACTAAACTAAATTCAAAATGAATCAAGTTCTAAATATTAAAACAGAGGCGTTAAATCTGCTAGAAGGTAGAATAGGCAAAACTCTTGAAGACATTGGTATAGGCAAAGACTTTATGAATCAAATTTTGTGGCACAGGAGCTAGCACAAAGGGTCGACAACTGGGATCTCATCTTTATTAAAAAGCTTTTGCACATCTTATTAAAAAGCTTTTCCACCAACAGAGTGAAGAGACAACCCACAACATGGGAGAAAAATTTGCCAGCTGTTCCTTAAAGGATTACTACCAAGAACATATAAATAACTCAAAACAATCAGACCTCCCAAATTTAAAGACCCAATCCAAAAGTGGACATCTGAGGAGAATACACACTTCTCAAATGAAGAAATACAAACAGAACACCCATATATGAAAAATATGTTCACTGTCACTGGTCATTTGGGTCATGCAAAATAAAACCACACTGAGATCCCATCTCACCCCAGAAAGAATGGCTATTTCCAAAAAAATCAACCAGTAACACATGCAGGAGTGGGATGGGAAAAAGGAACTCTTCTCCACTGTTGGTGGGAGCGTAGACTGGTGCAGCCACTGAGGAAATTGGTATGGAAGTGCCTCAGAAAACTAGGATTAGAGATCCCATTTGACCCAGCTATTCCATTTCTGGGTATCTTCCCAGAAGAACTGAAAACATCATACCACAGTGATGTATGGGCACCCATGTTAAAAGCAGCACAGTTTGTAATAGCCAGATGTTAGAAATAACCTAAATGAAGAAAGCTTTGTGTTAATATTGTTTGGAAATACAATGCCTATAACTTGTACTCTAGGTAACTAATTTAAAGATAACAATACACAATGTATTAATGCCACTCTCCTGTTCTCGTTTTGAATTTTTTTCTCTTTAAAATAAAATTAAAAATAAATAAAAACAATTCTAGTTTCCTCTTTTTTGTCATCAGGGCTGTATCTGCCATATCCCAGCCGGACTGCAGGGAAGTTCATGATGTGCTCTGTATTTTAATGCTTCATGTTTAAAATCACTTTTTCCTCTTCCTCTAGGCGGGAGCCAACGTCCTGCTCCAGGACGTGAATGGGAATATCCCACTGGATTATGCCACGGAAGGGACTGAATCCAGCTCTATCCTACTGGCCTATCTGGATGAAAATGGTAGGGGACGCCTTGGGGGAAAGGGTAGAAGAAAAGAGTTGATTGACTTCTAAATGCATATGAGTTTTTCTAGCTATGCCGAAGTGACTTCAGACGGACGTTGTTGTAAAATATCTTTCTCTTCCGTGTTTCAATGCTTTTACTGCCCGGCTGGTTTTGTCACTGCAGCTTTTTGCAAAAGCCAGCAAACCTCCAAAGGTCAGAGGTGTGAGAACATTTAGCAGCCTCTGAAGCCCATAATCAGTAGGACGGGGTTTGTCATCATGGCCTGTGCTCCCCCAGCGGGGAAGGGACATGAACCAGCTCAGCTCACTTTGAGCTGATCAGCACAGCGTTGTATCCAGTGTCTGCTATTTGGGCCATGGTCCTGGTGCATCTGTCAGGGAGGACTTGGGTCGGGCACTTGTGCAGCACCTCAGGAGCTGCGCTGTCACACTTAGAATCCCAAATGCTGTCAAATGGTTCTGGCCAGAAAAGCTGAGGCAGAGCCTCCAGCCTGTCACTGAGGAGGATGCGGGTCATGGAGACTGAGCAGGACTCCTGAGACCTCTCAGCGAGGAGAATACGCCGCTCTGCACACTGGTGTGAGCGGACCACGGGGACACCACGGCTTCTACTCTCGGGGAAGACAACACCCAGAGGAGAGTAGCTGAGTTGGGTAAAACTTCTGATTTCACTTTTCTGAGGGCTCTCTGCACTGACTTCTGTTATTGGGGTGCTAGTTTGCACCCCACCAGCCGTGCAGGAGGGTTCCCATTTCCCCACAGCTTTGCAGGTGTTGGTGATTATTGGATTTCTTAGGGACAGACATTCTTTCTGGGACAAGATGGAATCTGAGCGCTGTTTTAATTTGCCTTTCTCTAGTAGCCAGAGATGTTGCACACCTTTCCTTATATGGACTGATCACTTACACTTCTGCCAGGAAGTACTTACTCATTTCTGTTGCCCTGCTTTCGGTTAAGTACTTTATTTGGGGAGATCTAATTTTCTGAGTTCTATCCACAGTCTAGGTGCTGGTCCCCTGTCTGAGGGTGGCTGGTAGCATGGTTTCCCACTCTGTGGGCTGCCTCTTCACTCTGTTTTTTCCCTTGGCTGTGCAGAGGTTTTTTTTAATTTGACACAGCCCTCGCTGATAGGTGGGTGTCGGGATTACTTCTGTGTGGCTGGGGCTGTGTTCAGTAAGCCCTTGCCTATGCCCATGACTTCAAGTTTACCTGTTTTATTCTACCAGCAGGTTAAGTGTTTCTACTTTAACCTTTATGTCACCGATTCATTCTGCATGGTTTCTCTGACACGAAAGTTCAAAATATAAACAAAGAACAAAATAAAAGATCTTTAGCCCATGAGTTAGGGATCAGAGGTGGAGGGAGGAAGGCGAGGCGGGGGGAGAAGGGAACGCAATGAAGAAAGAATCTCGGTGGTTCGCTTCCACGCTCCAGCTCTACACGGTGCAAGGAATCACCTCAGGTCGCAAACACGTCTGCAAACAAAAAATGACAAATCAGAAAAAAATAAAACAAGACCTTCCTCCCATGTGGGAAACAGCACAGGAGTGAGGGCCTCCTGTTCCTGCTGTTGCTGTGGAACAATTGCCATCTCCTTGCAGGAAGGCAGGGGCCTTTCTTCCCTGAAGGTGGGGTCCAGGCAGGGCGAACTGGGGTCCGCCCCCACAGCCTCAGTCCCCTTCACTCCTGCCGGGGCAGCGCACTCTGTGTCCTCGAGTCCTGTTGGCTGAGCCTTGTTAGAGATGATATGATTCCTTTACTTCCAAAGGGAAGGAAGCCTGCGTGGAGCAGACACCGGACACCAGAAGCCAGGAGTTGGAGTTTTGTAAAACTCCCTGGACAGGAGACAACTCTGAGTTTGCAAAAGAGCTTGGTTGTGTCAGGGTCTACCATTAACAATACCATTTAACTGTATACTTTTCCTTTTTTAGTGATGGCACTAAGGAATGAACCCAGGGCATTTGCACTGACCTGCATTACCAACATTTGTGTTTTGTTTGTTTCTTGCTTTGTAGTCCAGGCTATCTTTGTGCTCCCTATGCTGGTCTTGAACTTACAGCAATCTTCCTGCCTCAGCCTCCCGAGTGCCAGGATTACTGGTGTGTACCACACGCCCAGTCTCAGCCTTCTTTTTATTTTTCATTTTGAGACAGTGCCCAGACTGAGCTTGAACTTACAGTCCTTCTGCCTCAGCTTCCCAAAGTCCTGTGCCACTCCCGCCCCCCGGCTTATATGCTCAATAATTTTGAATATTCTTTTGTGAAGCATTTGTATAACTAAAAAAAAAAATAATAATGGTAAATATTATTGCCGTATTATGGCTATGGTATAGGCTGTGCTGATGCTTTACAGGTGTAGACTTGCCTGGAAATTCATTAAATTGTACAGCATTTGTGTCATAAGATGGCTTAAAAAATAATAAAATAACCACTCCATGAATGGCAAAAGTTTTTAAAGTGGGAGAAGACATTTCTGTGTTTGTGCTTAGTATGTGTTTTTGTGATTATTTCCTGCTTCTCTTACTCTGAATTAGTGAAAAATACAGTAATAAAAATCTCTTTTCAGAAAATAAAGTGAAAATCTCACTTTGCAAAGCAGTTATCATCCTTAAGAATCCTTTCTGGTTTGCTGAAGCACTTTGATAAGCACTGCTGGTGTTTGCAATATCAGTATTATCATTAACCGAAACAAGCACCATCCACAGAACGCTGGTTTAAAAACTGAGGAAGGGGGACAGTGAGAGGCCAGTGCTGACCCCTACAGTGAGGAGCGAATCTGTGGGCACCACAACTGTCACAGTCAGTTTGCAAGATCCATGTTTGCCAGAACAAATGCAGTTCCCTAAGGCGCCAGGGTCCTGCCCTTCATCTCTGTCACTGGCTGGGCCTCCTGTCCTGCTCGTCTCTCCTCTGCCCAGCTCCCGGTGACACTGTCTAATTTGATTCGTTCCCCAGTGCTCTCCTCAGCGCACTTGGAGCATGATCAGCAGTAATGACAGGGACGGATGTCCTTAGCCGTCCCTAATACCCTGAGATGAGATTTTCATTATGCGCCTCTGTGTTTCCGCACCACCTCATTATAACGAGGGTGCCATGGCGCCCGTCTGTTCTCTCTGCACTGAGAGGTTCCTCATCAGATACTTATCTTGCTGTCATTTTGGGTGCAGGTGGCAGGAGGGGGCAGCAGTGTCCTGAACAAGTTGATGGTGTGGAAAATCGCTGGTCACAGTTCTGACTATGCTGTCACCACCAGTGTGTACTGTAAACCTGGAACAGCAGTTAACCTCGGCTCGCTGCCTGGGCCTATGGGGCTGCAAAGCAAGACTTGTGCTGGGCTGAAGGAGAACTGGAGAGCATGGGGAGGCCCAGGCCTGGCATCCAGGTGGCAGGGGAGAAAGCCGTCAAGTCTCCAGGGGTGCAGGCACCTCAGGGAGAGTGAGCTGGGCAGGGAACAGGAGAGGCATTGTGTGTGTTCCCGTGGCCCCAGAAATTACACAGCTCCCCATGACCTCGCTCGCCAACATCTGCTGTCCTTCCCCTTGACCATCCTGTTAGAAACAAGCTGTGACTGCTCCCAAAGGTCAGCTCTGGGTCCTGCCCACCGGCTGGGGACATCCCTGCAGCAGCTGCCCCTTGCTTCACAGCTCTCTCTGCAAGGACCGCGCCTCTATCCTGATCACCCCATCTCTCTGCAACGCTGAAGCACTGTTTCTCCTGCGGTGGTCTCCTTGTGTCTTCCTTCCTTCTCTCAGGCTGAGATGGAAGCCTCGCTGTCCCTACAAGCTCTGACTGTGTTCTATACTCTCCCGCCACCGGCGAGGGTTGTAGCTTGTGCACACCACTGTCCTCCTCCTGTGCCTCCTGCTTGTCTGCTGCTTCCTGGGCACCCCTGTTACTGTGTACAGCTGGCTCCCTGATCCTGCCATAGCTGAAACCTGCTCTTTCTATTCTAAGGGAGCAGCTCCCCCCAGCTTGGCCACTGTGCCCAGGGCCAGCCCTCCCTCACGGTTCACCAAACTCCTACGTGAGCTGGCTCACAGATGTCCTGTCTTCCTTCTGCTTCTTACTAAGATTCCATTCTTGCAGTGGGCTTCCCAAGGTGACCACAGTTAGGGGACAGTGTGTCCCTGTCTGTATAGGATGGCTGTTGGCTCCCCCAGCTGTCCAGGCTTGGAGTGTGGGGATTAGGTGGGGGTAGGAATACCCTTGTGACTGCTGGAACCGCTGCTCTAAGTTTAACTGCCCAGCCCTGGATTTCTGTGAGTGCTTAGCAAGTGCCACGTTGATCTATGTGTGCTGTAAATCAATCTCGATGATGGCGACTCTGCTCAGCATGAGACCTGGAGACTGGAGACCACCACACCGTGAGAAATGCCATTGTAGGAGTCAGGGAACCCGGTGTTACTCATAGCAGCAGCTGTGTGTCCCACTGGATTAGGAGTGCTCTCTCCCCACTCTCCTCTCTCTGCCTTTTATTTCCTTCCTTCCTTCCTTAGGAATTGAACCCGGGACTTTTCCACTGAACTGCTTTCCCTGCTATTATTGTGATTTCTTATTTTGAGGCAGAGTATTGTTCGGTTGCCTGTGCTGGGCTTGGATTTGCTGTGTGATCTGGGGGCCACAGCAGGGTGGGGAGCAGCACAGGAGAGACAGGGGCTCAGGGCAGCTGTGGGAGGGAAGTGGTATCTCCTCCTCCCCTCTCTCTCCTCCCCCTCCTCCCTCTTTTCCCTCTCCCTCCTTCTCCCCCTCCTCTCTCCTTCCCCTCTCCCTCCTCCTCCCCCTCTCCCTCCTCCTCCTCCTCTCCTCCTCCTCCAGCAGGGGAATCCATAGCAGCACAGCTTTGCAGACTTGCACTGGCTGGTGTTCTGCCAATGTCGCAGAGCCCCACTCGGAGGAGCAGCTGGCTGGACCTCAACAGAATTCCACAGAGCAAACAGTTAAGGAAAACTGAGAGAGGATTAGGGTTGACTGAGGTATTGACATAAATTTAGCTTGCCTGTGTATTTTATTATCAAATGTAATTGGTAGCAGTAGTACCCTATGTGATACCTGTGAGTTTCAGGTAAATTATTTTGTTTCTTAATTCCTAAATAAAAAGAAATAACAGGTTCATCTCCAAATAGTAAATACAAGTCGGGTTTATGTTAATAAGTTTTCAGAACTTATTGAATGTAAACCAGGTTTCTCTAGGAAAATGGGAGTTGGTCCATCTGCTACAAAATGAATTTATGGTGAACTGTGATCATCTTGGTTCATTTCATTTAGGGTCAGTGAAAGAAACTGGTGTGACATGAAGAGAACATCTGTGGCATTCTTACCAAAATGCAAACTGCGTTTCTTTCCTGAACATATAATGGAAATCTAAAAACTACCTTTTTATGGTACTGGGGCTTAAACCCAGAGTGTTCAACTGGGTCACCTCCCAACACCTTTTGAGTTTTTATTTTGAGACAGAGTCTCACGAACTTACCAAGACTTCTAGGCTGGGCTCAAACTCCTGCCCTTCCTGCCTCAGCCTCTCACAGTGCTTGGGTTTACAGGTGTGCTGTACCATGCTGAGCTAAATATTGCATCTTGATTTACACCATATTTGATTCAATTGTGTTTTAAATCAATAGCATACAAATTCATAATGTTTCCCTGTGGTGTCTGCATCACAGAGACTGGAAACACGTACTCCTCGCACTGTGCTGTGCCATAAATCAGCTTGTGGTGAGCAATGTTTTGCCTCTGTATTTTAATGTGTGCCTTTCGTCTTTGAGCGGCTATGCTTTTGTCATTCCATTTTAATTACATGTTTAAATAATTTTTTGAATGATAAATACAACTTGTGTAAACACTGCAGTGTCAGAAAATTGAATAAAACAGAGAAACCTGAGATTCTTCTGCTGCTTCGTGTGCAGAAGTGGATAGTGGCATCCAGGAGATAATATTTTCCAAACTCAAATCCCAGGTTAATTTCTACAACTCTAAAGCTACAGGTACAGTGACGGGTGAGGCTGGTTCCTACCAGAACTCAAATGGCTCATACTCCAAAGTTGAGAGGATGAGGGTGTTCTTGATTTGTCTGACATGGATTAGCTTTGAGTAGAGATGTGAGACCCCTGTGTGACTCAGAAATGCAGTTGGCTTTAGTTTTCAGCCCACAGCCTCATCACTGCAGGAAAGGAGCTCCTGCCTCGGAGGGGCACACTCCCGCTCCAGAGGTGGGGATAACCAATGCAGCTCCCCCTCCACACCCTGTACTGCAGCCACGGTTGATTGGGGGCTTGTGTTCTAACTCATCCAGGTATCTGTTGGTGACACAGGGGAACTGTCAGCCCTGTTGTGCAAAGAAATTCTTGGCAGCTGGGCTTCCAAGTGCCTCTGTTCCCAGCCACCCAGGTTCAGAATAAGCCATGGTGAGCAGATGTGGGGACCCTCAGGGGAAGATGATGGCAGAGAAGCTTGAGATGAGCTTGTCTTCCTTAAAACTATGAAGTATAGCTTCGCCACTGTGGGCTCCATGTTGTTAGCCAACTTACTGGAGACACTGAGGCCTAGACAGGTAAAAGGACCTCCCCAAAGTTGGCCTGGGGGAGCAAACCCAGTGGGCACATCCAGAATATTACTCGGGCATGTGCATGGGTCCACTGTGCCAGGCTTGTGGTCCAGGTCTGCAGCCAGCACTCCATCGGAGATGAGCTGGAAAGTGCTCAGAAAAGCAGCTGGCTCATGGCAGAGGCTAAGGAGAGGGAGATTCCCTCACCGTCATCAGCACCATCTTCACCAGCATCAAAACCATCATCTTCACTACTAACTACCACAGTCCTCACAGCACCATCCTGATGGCTGTCCCACTAACGTCATCACCACTCACATCTCTGTCCCCATCACCCATCATTGTTATCACTGTGGTCAATGTCATTGTCATTTCCATGCCCATCACAACCACCATCATCACCACTGATGTCATCTCCATGCCCATCAGCCCCATCAACACCACCATGGCCATCATCTCCATCAGCATCATCATCATCCCACATCCATCACAACCACCATCATCACCACTGACATCATCTCCATGCCCTTCAACCCCCTCCCTACCATCACCACCAGCAACACCAGCAGCACCATCATTGACATCATCTCCATCCCCATCAATCCCATCCCCTACCGCCACCACCATCATCATCATCACATTTTCATTTGTACCCTGGAGCAGGTGAATTATTTCTCTTCAGTAAATATCCACTTTGTCAGGAATCAAAGCGAGGGCCTGGAGATAGCTCAGTGCAGAGATGGTCACTGTTGTGTCATGAATTTCATGTGAAGTACATGCAGTTGAAGAGTGTGAATAATAGGTAAAAAGAGTTTTCTAGTGTTCATGATCATCCTAAGTTAAGAAAGACTGACTTGTGAGGGTTTGGCTCAATGTTCATTATCTTCGTAATGTGAGCAGTCCTGAAAGGTTAGTTGGTGCATCCTTTTAAAAAGTTGTTTAGAAGTCACATTAGATGTGTTGGGAAACCTCAGACAGTTCAGGGGGTTCCTAAGTACTGTTGGCGCTTCTGCTAATGCTAGCATCACATTGCTATAGTGTATTTATAAGATATGACATTAATGTAGATACACTACTATTATTAACTAACATAGATATTATTCAGATTTTCACTTTTCAGCTTTTTATTAAAGTCATTTATTTTTAAATTCTAGGATACCAGATTGCTTTTAGGAGTAACTATATGAGCCAGAAAAATCTTAGAGAACAAAACTCATATCTTCTTAGTGTTTTAAAATTCAGTTTAAGTACTCTAAAGTTCTCCGGACAATGTATTTTGGTAGTTTATAATAAAACAGACATTCCTGGTGAGCTTGCCAGGTACAAGGCATCCCGTTCTAGCTCTGACTGTAACAAGTGGTTAACTTTTCTTCCGATACAGACTATAATCTATTGTAAAAGGAATGCACAGAGCAGGAAAAGTCAGCGGGCTTGGAATTCGGTGCAGAGCAAAAGTCGGGCTTCAGAGCCCATCTTAGGGGAAGCACAGCTGAGAGCAGTGTCTCGCTTTCGCTCTGAGAGTTTCTTTCTCCCTCAGGAGTGGACCCTGCCTCACTGCGCCAGCTGAAGCTTCAGAGGCCCATGAGTATGCTGACCGATGTCCGGCACTTCCTGTCGTCAGGAGGAAACGTTAACGAGAAAAACGAGGAAGGGGTCACTCTGGTGAGTTCACTTTCTTGACTCAAGAATTGTTCTCAAGGAGTCTGTAAATCTAGAGCTGAATATAATTCATGGTAAGATAATATGGAATTTTTTATTATAAAAAGCCATTTTGTTTATTGTAGCAATTTTAACAAACAAAATCTGTAGAAAACAATGTACAAAATACTTATACCACCACCTAGAAAGGACCCATGTGTGTCTGTTCATATACTTCCTCCAAGCCTTTCTTATGCATGTTTTTCCTACATATTTAAAATAAATTTGCATATTACTTTGTCAGTGTGAGTTCTGCAATGTGATTTACCGGAAAAGGCTTTCATTTTAGTTTTAGGCAAAACGAAGTGGGTTACTTTTGAAACTGATCCAGTGCAATTCTAGAAAATTCTGCTCTTGACATTTCTGTTATCTCAAGACCAGTTGTACTAAGTTAAAAATAGGCCAATTCAATTTGGAATGACTTTAATATAATCAATACTGGCCTCACAGTCACTTTTTGCTTATTGCCCATGAAACTGAAAATTAATCACAGTGAGAAGTAGTGTACTAAGCCTAGGAGGGGGCGGTGAAGTCAGACACAGCAGTGAGTAGGTTTGGAGCTGTGTGACGCAGGCTGAGTGGACTTGGGCAGAACATAGGACTCATCACCTGCTGTGGAGAATGGGGCACGAGGTTGGACACAGCAGAGGGACCAAACTGAGGGAGAGGGCTTTTCCCCATGGAAGGTCTTCTGGAAATATATTTTTAAGTTTCTGAAATGGAGATTCACTACCTGATGACTTCTAGATGAAATCCCTTTCTAAATATTAATGTTTAAAAATGTAGATTTCATGGAGTATTTTACTATTCTTAGCACTATTTTACAATTTTATCATTGTATAAAATGTATAATTTTAAATTTATAAAGTTTTATGAAGTCATGTATTATAAATTTAGTCTTCCAAATTCAATATTTATGACTTACAAACTTCAGAAATCTTTAGGAATTCAGCTGTAAGTTATTAGAAAGAAACACAAGCCATGTTCAGAGTGCATTGGGAAAATACATGATCCAGTGGCAAAGGACTGTAATTGACTTGCTGAAGAATCTTCGTAGACCACGTGTTGGAAACAGAGTAGTGAACTACCCCATGAAGATTCTGTCAGAGTCTCGTCTTGATTAGGAAGATGGGTCAGGTAACTGTAAATGAGCAAGTCTAGTATGTCAATAATAAAAACTGCAAAGAGGACAAAGCAAAATGAGGCAGGATGTGTTGGCTGATGGAGATGGGTGAGCTCCAGCTGATGAAGACAGTACAGATTCCTGACCCAAAGGAGAGGGACACTAACCCAGTGGCTGTGAGGAGTGGCTCCCTGAGGTGTGAGGGAGTGTAGGTGGCCTGAGACCCACGTGATTGGTGCTAGATTAACAGAGAGACAGAGAGGAGCCAGGACTGGACTGCAGTCTCCTGTGGACCTCCGACTCCTGCTCAGAGTGGGATGGGAAGACATCAGAGGAGTCTGAGACAGGAAAGACACCTCAGTTTTAACAGGATCACTTACTCGGGCTGTTGTGTAGAGAGGATGGACAGGACCTAGGGGGCAGTGGGAAGCTGGGAGATCAGGGCAGTGGTTTTTCCAGAAATTTAGTGAGTTAGTCAGCTTTTCCCACATGCTGCCAAGAGAGAAAGCAAATAAACTGGATTTGGAGCTAGTAACTTGGAGATCATCAGCCCCTACAGCTTAGAAGGGGGAGGTTTAATTTGGCTCATGTTTTCAGGGGCTCAGTCCATGGTCAACTAGTTCCAAGGCGGGATCATTATGGCTGAAGAAGACCTGGTGGAGCAAAGTGGTTCAGGTCATGGTGACTGGGAAGCAGAGTAGGAGGAAAGCACCAGGCAGGAAGGGACCAGGAACTGGAAACAGACCCAAGATCACTATGTCCCACACAGCCTCACCCTGACACGTGCTTGACTAATCTACTGCAAGGCTTCCTAGCCATCATACTGACAATTGGGCTTCACCACTGCATCTAGGGAGCCCCGATGTGGCTCAGACAATGGAGCTGGGGGCTAGTGGGGGTGGGGTGTAAATTTCAGAATATTTCATGAAATAATTCAAGGGAGCTTGCCGGTGGGTATAGGTGGGAGATAAAAAGAAGGCTTACAGATGACTCCAGGTACTTTCAGCTTGACCCATCAGTGTGATACAGGTGACATCAAAGGACATAGAGGAGGCTGTCAAGGACACAGGCATAGTGCCTGGAAAATCAGATCCGTTTTGGAAAGGTCAAGTTTAAGTGCCTGGTAGCCACTGAACGGTGCTGGTGAGCTTGTGCCTGGCCAGGAGTCTGGAATTTGGGGAAGATCTGGGCTGGAAGAAGCTTTGGGAACAGGCACACAGACATGATACTGGCATCCTTGATACTGGGAGAAATTACCTGTTTGATAAAGGAGGACTCCAGGTGAGCCGTGGAGGTGAGGAGAAGAGGCAAATCCAGAAGGAGGAGGAGATAGATGCAGGTACTAAGGCAGGAAGGAAGCCAAGGGAACAGGTCCTAGATGCCCAACTGTGATAAGGAGGAAGGAGTGGGGGGCTTTCTGCACTGTGGAGAGCACAAGCAGATCACAGTGGTAACCGGATTTGGAGTCTGTCCCTTGGAAGAGAGTTTGGGTTTGCGGGATTGGTAGGATTAGAAGGAGATGAGTGTGAGGTGATTAATAACTCCACATATTGTATGTAATAAATTCATGCCTGATGTGTGACACAAGCGCAATGGAGCCTTTGCTTCTGTGTCCTAGAAAACACAGCAGCTTTCTGTCTTTGAATGGAAACAGCTAGCTGCAGATAACCTACTTGCACTGGTGGCCACTAGTTCACCTGAATACTGCAGTAGAGAAGCAGCTATTGTAGGGACCAACGAAAGCAATAAATTGCTCTCATTTTCAGTGATCTTCAGTTTTGGCATTGCTGTGAGCTTTATACTTTTACGAAACGGTGGGCACAGAAGCCACAAATGACTGCTCCGTAATAACTGAACACTGTGAGGATCATCTCTGAGCTCCCAACCAGACAGTAACAATGAGCGGAGGCAGGAATAGTCTCCTGAAGATCACAGCGTTTAACAAGCACCGTTTGGGTTTGATTCTTACCTCTGAATCGTATCTACTTATATTAATAAGCATAATTGCTAGCATTTTCCTTAATTTTAGGTAGATAGCTGTCTTGTGTTTTCTGTCTATTTTTAGGAATGAAGATAAGAAAATATTTTTCTTTGCAGATTGATTTCCAGTTTCTGGGTTGTGTTGTCAGTTGTGATTCAAAATTAGCCATAATTTCTTGAGCTATTAAATTGTCATGTTCACAAGATGAAACACTCAACAAAAGACTCAAGAAACTGGCTTCTAGTGAAGTGGTTTTTATGTTGCCTTTTCCTCATTATTAGAGCATTCAACTACACAGTCAAATATAATACAGATGTTTTTGAAATGATCTTTTGGTTTAGACAAATATTCTTCTGAAATATAAATAAAAGCCTCAGAAAAAGAATAATTTTTAAATGCTGTTTACCAAAGCATATGAAGGTAAATTCCTGAGTTTGAGTGCCCACAGCGTCTTTGAAGATGATGCTGTACATTTATGCTACAAGACACCGATTCTTCACTGTTGGACCACAGAACCCGATGTATCCCCTCTGGCTATTGCCAGTACTGACAGCTTGCTGGGAAATAATGACCCAGAAGATGCAGTTAGGAAGCACTTACATTGATGGTCCCTTTTTATTTCAGCAGTGCTGGTTTAGCCCTTATTTCTGAGTATACTTAGCCAGTGTTGTCAAGTTTCTGGTCAGTTTTGGGGAACTGTAACCATATGATCATTGTCACAAAATGTAGTCTCAATTTAGAGGGCAGGGTGTCTGCTCCAATAAAATACTGAAAATGCCCAACTCAGAAGGTTACTGGCTACTCCTCAAGAGTGATTTTCACCAACTCGTGTGATGGTTTGTGTCTGGATGGCCCTCAAAGCCTCGCACAGTTATGGTGAGGGGGCTTTTCAGAGGTAGCTGAATCCAGAGTTTGGAATTGATTCATGGTCCAGTGCTGGGATTATGGGTGTGAGTGCTATACCCACTTAGAGTGGGCTGCCTGCACACCATATAAGGGAGGGAAAGAGGATCTCTCTCTCTCTCTCTCTCTCTCTCTCTCTCTCTCTCTCTCTCTCTCTCATTGCTTTTGCTGACTTCCACTGCCTTAGACGTTTGCCCCTCTGCCACTCCACCCTGCCTTGGAGCCAAGTGTGGGCTAAGGCCACTACAAACTGTGAGCTAAACTTCTGTCCCTTTCACTGTGGGTGTCAGCTATTTTGTCTAAGCAGTGAGAGAAAAGTAACTAAAACAACTCCTAACAGTTTTCATGAAAATGCATCTGTCTCAGCTGATCTGCCAGTTCAGAATGCCAGGGCTCACACACCTTAAGTGAGAACAAATTCAGTGGGGATATATTTTAAATTCTGCACCTAGATTTTTCTTTTTATAAAATACATGCATAAAATACAAGAATAACTTAAAAACAATCCTTGTTTTCAAGTTATCCATGCAAAAAACACACAAGTCTGGGTAGCAAAGGGCCTTCTAACTTCAAGATATCAGTCCCAGAAGAGAAAACACAGGAGGAATATGATGACATCAGGTACCATAGCAGAAACTGAAACAAGCATTTTGCATCCAACAGGGAACAAAAATGAGAGAGAATAAACCAGGAATAATATTTGCAAACAGTTTTTCAAAGTTTTAATATCTTCCAGAGGGAAATAGTGGACATCCTCGTGGGCTCACAGTTGGGGTTCTGGGGGGTGATTTCATGGTGGGCTCCTAGTGCTAACTTGGTATCAGGGGCAGGTCTGGTGTGAAGAGGCAATCCCAGGAGATGTGACCCGGAAGGATTCATCTCCCTCCCAGCTGCTCCTGACCTCCATCTCCCACCCTGCCACCCTGCCCGGGAGTCAGTTGCTCTGCACTGAACTGT